GTCTGGCCTCATCAGTGCTGAGTGCCAGGGGACAATCAGTGCCCTGGTCCTGCTGGCCACACTATTGCTGACACGGGCCAGGATGCCATTGGCCTTTTTGAAGGCATGTTTGTTTCTTCACAAAATACACCTGTTGAAATAAGTGTTTATGCACCTTATTTGACATTCAAAAATCACTCTTCCTATTAAAGCATTGGAAGAAGTACATAAAACAGGCCAGAAAAAGTTATTCCAAATACGATTCAAAAGCAAAATCTCCCTTGAGCAAAACCTGTAGAATTCTTGTGATTTGCAAATGGCTTTATGCATAGATTTTTTAAACATAAGTAAAAGAGATGGTATCTTCTATACCACTCAAAATTGAAAGACTGTTTTGTAGCAAATTTCATAGATAGCTGCAATCTGCCATCCCTGAATTTATCAGATGCAATTTCATCCACTAAGACAAGTCAATTTAATGACCTGCTCCTTAGTGCCAAAATTTTCTTACTCCTCCATCTCCTTCTCTATCCAGTCCCAACTGCACTCCTTCCACTTTCTTTATGCATCCTTCTGACTAACATTGGAGGTAAGCACCAGATAAATCAGTTTGTTAATCTGGCAAAAAAAAGTAGAACAGCAGAAGAACTGATATTTTTTCAGGTTAGTGCATTGGATGGTTCACAGAAATAGATCTGACAAGCAGCAGATTTGGAGCAAAGGAAGGGTCAGGACCGGGCAGCAAAGCTAAAGGTGGGGATAGAGCAATGCTGCCACTGGCATGTGTTAGCAAGTCAGAATAATGTTTTGTTCGTCTAGGTATAAAATGGCCACTGTATTTTCTGATAACATGGATAACAAATAGCTATGCCTACTGAAAAAGCCTTGCATGGGTTGCAGATGCCTTACAGCTTTCCTCAAGTAACTAATAGTGAAAGTGAAGATCTGCATGCCCCACAACCTGCATCCAAACAATATGGAGCCTGTAAGTCTAAAGAATATGTACCAATAACAGCACCAGATCACACTATAACACATACAAAACCATATTACTAATTTAAGCCTGTTTGATGGTGACTTTTTCAGTGGTGTGGAGGCCATTCTGGACCCAGTAGGTTGTTTTCTTTGCACTGGATTGAAGACAAACTTCCTCTCATTTCATGATAAATAAAGATGATAATACATAGAGAAGAGTTTCTTCCAGAATTTCTCACTCCAATTGACCACTAAATAGTCAGCAGTTTGATTAAAAAAACCCCAAATCAGTAGATGTTGCATTCTGTATGTTTGAAGTAGAGAGCTGTAATGGCTAAGCACAGCTCTGATGCAATAAAAGAACTCCAAAGGAAAGGACTCAGTGACTCCAGGAAGTACTCAGAATGAATTTTAACAAGAATTTGTCAGCTGGATAAATTACAATATAGAAATATGCATCCTAAAATCTGAGCACAGCATGCCACTTCTTCAGATCTGTTACTGGAATAATCATTGTTAACAACACTGATTTTAATCTATTTATTCAGACTGAGAATGTGAAAAATCCCCAGACTCTCCTTTTCCTCCGAAATCAAGAGGAGACTTCAGTCTGACCAAGTATCTTAATTTCTCACCTCCTTATATGGTGATACAGAGCTTTCTCTGACAGCAACCCAAGACTGCACAGTTGGTTTTATTGAGTCAGAAGGTTCTTCACACTGGGACTAGAGAAGATGGATATGGAGATAATAAGAAAAGGAATTCCATTTCATAGCCCCTCTTCAATAGAATGCATTTTCCTGAAGCAAGGATATTCCACTTAGAATGGTATCAAGCAATGATCTGAACAATGATCACAAGTATGGGAGCTGGGAACAGGCTTCTGACAGCAAGAATAGACCTCAAAGGAAAAATGAAATTTGCTGTCTTTAGGACAAAGGTAAAGAATGACCAGATGCCAGAGCAACTGTTTCAGGAGCAGGGTTTTGGCCCTTTATTTGCAGACTTTGTTAGCTTGTGTTGGGTGTTGGTAGTAGGGATACTCCTCCATTGATGGTTTGCAGTGCTGGAGGTAGCCTACAGTTGTTTGAACTTCCTTGAGAAACCCACAGAGACTGTGAGGATCAGTAGAGCATAGCAACAACAATTCCCAGTGCTACAGAAGCTAGAGAGAGCAGTTGCGTCTAAGCACCTTGAAAAGAAATCTAGGGAAAAAAAATTGACTGCCATATCAAAACGAACTTCCATCTCTGCACTCTAATGGCAGCTTATGAATAATACACTCTATTTCAGGACAATTTAACATAGTCAACTTCAGTACTGCTGCTGGATCACTCGAAATGATCACCTGAAGGCCTGATGTTAGACATTAATATTGAGACCTGTTAAGTTGTGACCAGTAGAAATACCAATACCTTGTGAATCTTTCAGAAAGTCAAGGAAGCAACAATAACATCATGTGACTTGGACTCATCATGGGAAAACTTGTTCTACATCATGACATGAATATTAAACATAAATTCAGTCTTCCCATCCTTTTCTGTTCCCTAAAGAAGAGATCCAAACCGATCTCTTCCCGATCCAAACCAGGTGCCTTTGGCACCAACAGTAAACGAACAAATAAATAAGGGGGTGAATTTCTTTGGTGGCAGCCAAGTAGTCTGTCCTTTCACTCCATCAACAGTACTGTTTAGAAGCACAATGTATGTATAGAAAGAATTCCCTTTTTCTTACATGACCTACTCATAGCAGAATGAAATTGTGCAGTTCTGTTAAATGGTATTTCACAGGATACTGTGGAAAACTCAGAGCCACTAAAACCTATATTTTCCTTAGTTTGCTAAAAAAAACCCCACATTATGAATTGTACTTTCAGATGTAATACTTAATCTGTTACATCATTACTTGAATTTTATTGCCTGATTTCAACAACTACAAACATCTGCAACAAGACTGGCTTAAATGAGTAGTGTTCTGGGGGTAGTCTTAGGGCCTGTTTCACTGCAAATTTATAAGTCCACAAGTAGGTTTTTTATGTAATATGTTCTGCAAAACTTACAGCCAAGTGAAGAAACCTCAGTTAAAATGAATAAATAAGTAATTATTTTTACGGCACCCTCTGTCTTCAAAGCACAGTTTCCATTAACTCAGGGCTCAAATAAGCAAACCAGGCTCTCTGTGACTAAGCTGAGAAGCATTTATGTTATGACATATCTTCCAAAAAAAAAAAAAAAAATCAAATTCCCTGGTAATCCTGCTGCCCTTGCTTGATTAAGATACTAGAACTGGTAGAAATTTTTCCATGAATGAGGTAGGAGTTTGCTAGCAAACAGGAGAAGAAATGTCAAAAGGAAGGACACTTTGAAAAACATTCTTTTCCCTTCTCCTAACTCTTTATAATCTATTTTTATAGAAAACATATAGAGAATTTTATATAAGCTTAGGGGTATAGCTATTTTTCCACTTCATGTTCCATTTCCTGTATCAGGAGACATGCAGGTTTAAATTAAATCTACATGAACCTGTATTAATTCAGGCTCTGTACCTGAATTTTCCTCAAAGGAGGGATTTGTAGAGATAAAGGATGCCTAGCCAGTGTCAGCATCCTAGAAAAGCAACATTGCTGAGATGGAAAGAAGAGGTGGGCTCAGGAGTCAATCTTCTGCAAGGTCTTCTTCCTACTTCTACCATGACATTCCCAATACCCTCACTCTGAAGATATCAGTTAAGTTTTCAGGGACAAAGGCCCAGATTTTTAACCTTGCATACCTCTAAAAAGAAGAAGAAACCATGACTACTAGACTTGTACTTCCCAGAGGTACACAAATTCACAGACACTTTTCTTCTTTGCATTTGAACACAACATATTCAATCTACTTCACATAGGTACGAAATAAAGAGTAGAACTATCAAAGCAAAGCTTGTCACATAACTTGAGGTTTAGTTGAGTCTGGTGAGAAATTCTGGATCAGATAGAAATTGAGGCTTATGAAAATGCAACTGTTCAGACCAAGAGTACCCAAAAATGGAAGAACCAAAGTTTTAGTAATGTTACATGAGGCATAGGCTTGCTTTCCACAAGATTTTTCTTACTTTGTAACCTGCCTTGGGTTCACTACATTTACAGTTACCTTGGGAACAGGGATAGCAAAAGAACCAGAAAATATTATATTGCTGTTTCATACAGCATTGTCCCCTATTTTAAACCCCTAATTTATTTGGCTACAAAAAGTTTGTAAAAAACATTAGTTTATTAGTTCTGTATTCTGTAACTTTTAAACCTTCTTGTCTTTCTCCTTTTTTCCTTGCTTTATATGTATTTTCACTGAAGTGGAAAACATTGGAACCATGCCAAACTAAGAAAATTATTTAGAGAAACATTTTTGAAATACATCACATTTAAATATTCTTAATTTTTTCTTTAATTTAAGTCTTCAAATTTTAATTACCTTGTAATTAAATTTATTCTGTATAGACTTCCAACTTCAAAATCCTACTGTATTAAAAACAACATATAAATTGCTGGCACTGAAGTACCTTTATAATTGACAAAAAGAAATAGGCACTTTTATAGTGCTTCACCTTCTCCTCTGGGAAGAGATGAATTCTGTCCTAAAATCACCTATTTCCCACCATTCACTTGAAAGTGTCCAAATAATTTCATACACAGCCATCTAACTGCAATCTAACATTGGCTAACTGCATTGCAGCAATGAATTTATTTATTGCTAGCACAACATTCACTGCTTGCTCATTACCACTTTGCTGTCCACTTTTACTTTCATGCTGAAAAAGATCAATTCTGTTTTATCTTAACCAATATATGCCAAAAACATATGCTAAAAATGCAATGAGAAATTGTTCTTTGAACCCCTTAGGGACCTGGTTGATTCCTCAACAGCAGATCTTTTTCCAGTCTGTCTCATGGAGCAAAATGAAGTAGAAGGTAACAACTGTAGCCTTACCTGAGAGCTTGAGGAAGGTAATTCCCATCCCTGTATTACAAATACACAGAAATGGTGCAAATTCTGAACGAGAAAGGATACATTCGTATGGCTCCTGTTCTTGTTCCAATGGCCAGAATTTTCTGAACTGGGTCAAACGCTAAGGCGGTGGGTAGGTAAGGAAAACCATGGCGAACCGTCTGAAACAGAGCAAAGGAGCAAAGTGACTGAACTGCAACCACTGACAACAGCATGAATGCTTCATGCTTGTGTTTTTCTGTATGTTCTAGCATTTTCAATACATTTCAAGAGAGGTATTTAAAAAGATACAGTATTTCAAATACAGAGGTAAATTTTGTTCATATGAATTTCTAGTTATGCTTTTCACTCAGTAATATTTTAAATAGTTTTATTGCAACAAAGTAGATTGCAAAGTGTATGCTATTATACAACTGGTATATATTGCTGAAGTGGTATACTGAAGGATAACCTTGATATGCAGGGCAGCTGAACTGTAAACTGAAAAAAAAGACACATAATACGCTTTCAAAACACTCAGCCTCAACAGAACAGCTCCAGCAGAAAGAAATGGAATATGTCCAGGGGAAAAGATCCAATAAACCAATAAACTGAATCGAGTCTATGAGGTAAAAACCCTTAATATCAATTTAAAAAACAAAGACGCCAGAGAAAATGTTCTCAAAATGAGCAGCTGAACCACTCACCCTTTCTTAATCTTTATTTACAATACTGTGCTTTTAATTCTAATTTCTGCAGAGATACTTTGGGGAATAAATAAACTGAGCAAGATACAACACACCCTTGAAGACTGTCTCAGTATTTTAAGTTACCTTAACCTGGAGGTTATGACCAACATGACTTGCCCAATTCTTATGAGGAAGAACACTAACATAAGAACAAAAGTGAAAATAATAAGACACATAATAAGACACATAAAAAAACCCAAGACACATAAAAAAATACACATAAAATGAACAGTAATTAAATTTTTGTGGGGGGCTGCTTTCCTAAAAATGGACACAAAATGCTATTTTTCAGTAGCATATAAAAATAATGGTTTATATTATTTAACAAAATAAAACCTTGAACTCTAGGACTGACTCTTTTTTTAGTAAGTGGTTGGAATTGGAGAGGAAGTACTTTGAACTGAATGAATTTTAACTTTTTAAGCTGTCTTCCTCTTCCTTGAAATTATCTAGTTCAAGAACTATGTCTGCTGAAGCATTCAGCAGTCCCTAGGGAACAATGTCAACAAAAGGGACTCCTTAATTGCAGACCTGTTGAGTAAAAGGCAGCTGATGATTCCACAGCTGTATCACTCCAGCTCCTCCATTACAGCTGGAAACACTTGAACTGATATTCACAAGCAGTTTGGGAACAACCAAATGTATGTTTTTCAGCAAATAACCACTTCCTTAAAAGAGATCTTACTTGTCTCATATATTAATTGCTGCTGATAAGGGAAGTTGTTTAAAGAATGTCTAATTATTAGTTTCTAGGCTGAAAAAACCTAGAAGCATATGCTACTTCAGTAAGCTGTAGAAAAGTAACTCACTTTTTATGTTAATGTAGGCATTTATCAAAGATCTCAATTCTGTATCTGGTTTGTTTTGGAGTTTTTTAACTTTCTAATCTTCTTAAGTATCAGGATTACTCAAATATAAAGTTTTTTTATTCTTATATCTAAGCTGGGACCAGACTTACACCCCCAGAAGTGGTTTTACCTCTCATGTCACAAAAATAGAAGCAACCATGGATTGTAGCATTTTCTAGTGTGTTGAACATGTAGCATTACTAATCTGCTATTATATTTGAAATTTCTGTATTCTGGTGAATAAAAATTCTTCCTTATCTGAAAAAAACTTTCTTTTCACCAATTGTCCTTTTCCAATTATTGATTTTAGAAATGCTGTCTATAATAAAGTTTGAAATCCTATCAGTTCCAGTCACAGTATGCTTCTCTGATGTTTAGCCATGACTGGAGTTTTCAGTAATATTTTTAAGATCTAAAAATGCAAAGATAAATATTTTTAAAGAGCTATTTGCATCCTTGTCTACATATTATGGATCTGCATTGTATTTTCAGTATTCTGCAATCTAGAGTCAGACTTCCCATTTGGAAATTTTAATTGGGTCCTGTATTTGAGATAAAACTATGTTTTGAAAGAACAGTGATATACATCTTTTCAGGATCATAGCTCAGTACAATTTTTGAACTCTAGGATTGACTCAAAAGTGCTCTTTCTATTTTGCAGCCATTTTCCAATTTTGAGTATTTAGACTAGTCCAAATTAGCAGTTTTTTGTGAGTGCAAAATTCTGCCATTTGTAAAATTTTTTTAAAAAATTTGTTGAAATCCACTGAACATCCAAGTATATTACACCTTTCAATTAAAATATTTATATTTGTTGAGATTCCAAAAGAACAAAACCATTTTGGAAGGAAAGCCAAGTAATACAGTACAGAGTTAGGGCAGAAAAAGATGTCTCTATAATTGAGGGTTTGGCCCAAATTCGTGCAGCCTCAGAAATTATTCTGAAAATTAAACCTATTACAAAAGAACATGGAAAATCTTTAACACTCCAAACTCCCAGGTTCTTGTCCTCAGCTTTGGTGTAACAAAAGCTTTTTGGTCCTTTCTTTTTCAAAGGACTGTGAGAAAGATTGACATGAAAAGCCAGAGCTTGGAGTAGACTTTTCAGCTGTGCTTTGATATAGCTTGAGTGAACCTGAGTGTAAGGATGAGTAACAGTTCCAGAACTGTGGCTGGGCTTCCTTACAGCATTTACTAATACATATGAAAAAGAAGAGAAGGCCACAAAATTAACTTGATCCTAGAATGACAAAAAAAAAAAAAAATTCCTATTTTATCTGAGTTATATCCAGTAGGAACAACAGAGAACAAAACTATCAATGATGCTCAGAAACACAAAACAAAGCAGTTGGGGTCAATAGCAGGCAAAAGTAGAAGTATGGTTAAAAATCAGTCTGTGATCAAAGAAATATAAGGCAGCCTAACTACCCCAAATACCCCCAGAAAGAAGCTGCCAAGAAAATAAAAGGGAGAGAGAAAATCCAGACAGCAGATGGAGCCAGGACTGCTTTTCTCCACATTATCCAGCTTCCTTTAATGTCTCTTTTTTGGGCACGCTGTCTCTAGAGGCAGTCTGTGCTCCCTAGGACATACAGTTTCCGTGCAATATGCAAAACAATTTACTTGAAACAAAACAATTACAAATGCAGATACAATTTCAGCATAAATCTCTGTTCAGCTTAGTTATTTTCTCTTAAATTCTCTTCTAAATCATTTTAAGCAGTGAATTGCATGTATTTATCATTAAAGTAATCTTTACACAAACAATTTACCTAAATTAATATAGGAAATTGATTATTTGGGCTTGCTAGTAATCTACCAATGAACATTTTAATATCCTGTACAGAACATAATGGTCTTTTTCAGTCGAAAATACCATGATAGATTTCATTAGCTGAAAAAAAAAATTGCACTAGTACTAATATGCAATATCCAGTACAATTGTTCACAGGGTGCATAAGGCAATTCTTCAGTATAAGTTTTCTTAACGTTTATTCTGTGGTAGTTTATATCAGATTTCAAAGACACCTTTTTAATAAAAGTAATTATAACATTCTCTCACTCCAGAAAACAGAGAACTAGACAAAATTTTCAACTGTATCAACTAATAGAGTTTATAGGCAAAAGTGTTTCTGAAAATTTGCATTAACTTAAAAATTGTAACTTTTCTACTAATATTTTATAGATACTCTGTTTCATTTAACATCTGACAGCAAAATTGATTTACTTAGGTAAATAATTTTTGAGAATATGTACATTTGCTAAAATTCAACTACGTAGTCTAAACCTGTGGCTCCATATGTAGAATCTACTTCCAAATTGTCACCAACATGCCACGTGCAAAAATGTCATTGAAGAATAATTGATTAATTTACAGAATAGAGGATGAAGTGTTGACTGAAACCTCTCCAGCCTCTATGTCGGAAATTAAAAAATTACAATGATTACAGCATTTTCCCCACTTCAATACTATTTTTAGTAATGTGGTGCTCCAAGATTGTAGTGATAAAAATGAGTGCTTGCACAAATGAGCTGCCATGTATTATATCACTACAAGACCATGACATCCCCCATTTATGGATCACTGTGTCTGTAATCTCTGATTGGTAAGACTGATCCCTTCTCATTAAAAATGGAAAGAGGACAAGGTATCAGCAGGCTTCCAACCAAAGTAAACAACACAGGAGAGATAAATTTTTTATTAGTTAAATTTTCATTTTTCAAAGTAATGCTTTTTGTAAAAATCACAGCTTAGCTGCAATTTTCAAACCCAAGTTATTGATTCCATCTAGCTCTCAACCTCTAATAGGAACCAGACCTTCTAAGCATATTCACAGAATATTCTAAAAAATTACTTTTTTTTTTTCTTAGATAAATATACCCACAGATAGTTCTTTTCCTTGGTGTAAAGCTAGAAACAGTCATCTGGAAAAAGCCATTTACAAAAAGGACTCTGGACCTGTAGACTGGGAAAGCTGATTGCTGTCCCTGACAAGATGATAAAATAAAGACTAACAGAGCACATAGATAAAGATTGTTGCAGAAGTCAGCAGAGTTTCTTCAATGGGAAATCATGTCTGACTAGTTCTCTCTAATTCTATGAAGCTGTCAGCATGCAAGTAAATAAAGGGAATATGAATATACATAAGTTTTCCAAAAGCCTTCCAATAATATTCCACTGCAATGTTATTACAGAAACAGAAGTGTCATGGGACTGAAGAAATTTCTTTGTGGACTGAAAGCTGGTTAGATCACAGAAGACAAAGGACAGAGTTTTATGGATTCTTACCAAGAAGAAAATTCACAAGTAGAGTTCTCCATGCTTGGACCAATTTTATTGATTGTCTTTAAAGACCTATAAAAGGTAATGAACCCTGAAGTCTCTGAGATCACAGCTAATAGTAAGCTCCTTTGGATAGTGAAATTCAGTACTACCAGTGAGCAACTCCTGAAAGACTTCATTAGAGTGACTTAAGTGGGCAAGAAGTTGATAAATGAGCTTCAGTGTGGATATATATAAGATATCTAGAAGAAAGAAAAATCTTAACTAGATCTGCACAATGCTGAAATCGGAACTAGCATTTA